TTCTCCTGCCTCAGCTTCCTGAGCAGCTGGGATTACAGGCACACACCACCATGCCCAGCTAATTTTTTGTATTTTTTAGTAGAGATTGGGTTTCACCATGTTGACCAGAATGGTCTCGATCTCTTGACCTCATGATCCACCCACCTCGGCCTCCCAAAGTGCTGGGATTACAGGCTTGAGCCACTGCGCCCGGCAATTTTTATATTTTTAGTAGAGATGAGGTTTCACCTTGTTGGCCAGGCTGGTCTCAAACTCCTGACCTCAAGTGATCTGCCCGCCTTGACCTCCCTAAGTGCTGGGATTGTAGGCGTGAGCCATCGTGCCCCGTTTTCCAGACTTTTATTAGGAGCCTAGCTCAATGTAAATCACTGAGGTTACTCTATAACTTTTTTTTTTTTAAGATGAAGTCTTGCTCTGTCACCCAGGCTGGAGTGTAGTGGTGCAATCTTGGCTCACTGCAACCTCTGCCTCCCAGGTTTAGATGATTCTCCTGCCTCAGCCTCTCGAGAAGCTGGCATTACAGGCATGCACCACCATGCCTGGCTAATTTTTGTATTTTTAGTAGAGATCAGGCTGGTCTCAAACTCCTGATCTCAGGTGATCCACCCAGCTCGGCCTCTCAAAGTGCTGGGATTACAGGTGTGAGCGATCACGCCTGGCCTTATTCTTTAACTTTACTTGGCCAAACTAAATTTTTGTAGGTTTTTTTTTTAAACACTGAAAATTTTTCAGGAATAATCTATCTATAGCAAAGTGCATAAATTCACTGCTCCATATAATTTAAATATCTACATGGGCAATGTGCAGTGGCTCGGGCTTGCAATCCCAACACTCTGGGAGGCTGAGGATGGAGGATTGCTTGAGCTCAGGAGTTTGAGACTAGCCTGGGCAACATAGTGAGACATTGTTTCTACAAAAAAAAAATTTTTTTTTAATTAGTTGGGCATAGTGACATGTACCTATATTCCTAGCTACTTAGGAGGCTGAGGTGGTAGGATCACTTGAGTCTGGGAGGTGAAGGCTGCAGGGAGCCATAATCGCACCATTACACTATAGCTTGGACAACAGAGTGAAACTCTGTCTCAAAAAAAAAAATTGGTAAATAAGTAAAGTGTACAATCACATACCTCCAACGCAGATCAAGATGGAGAATATGTCCAGCACTCAGATTTCCTCGTGCTCTTCCTAATTGGTACTTCCTCCAAGATAACTAATATATAAATTTTCTGTAGCTTTTCATTTTGAAATGATTTCAGCCTTACGAAAAAATTGCAAAGTAGTATTAGTATCCCTGCCTACCCTTCACTCACCTTTCCCCAGTCATGAAATAATTATAAAAACCAGGAAATTAACATCAATAGAATTCTATAGACCTTATTCACCTTTCACCAATTTTTCCACTAATGTCTTTTTTTCTGGTCCAGGATCCATGCCAGGTTCACACATTGTATCCTGTTGTTATGTTTCTTTAGCCTACTGCAATCTGGGACAGTTCCTCTGTCCTTCCTGTCTTTTATGACAGTTTAAAAGAGACTGGTCAGTTATTTTATATAATATCCCTCAAGTTAAGCTTGCATGATGTTTCCTCGTGATTAAATTCAAGTTATGCATTTTTGACAATGCTGTGACAAAGATCTTATGCCCTTCTTAGTGCTTACTATCTGGAGGTACATGATAATGTCTCACTGGCAATGATATTGGCCTTGATCACGTGCTAAAGGTGGTGTCTGCCAGATCTCTTAACTTTAGAGTTATTATTTCTGCCTTTCTAATTAATAAATTTCTTATTGGGAGGTATTTTGAAATGATGCAAGTATCTTGTTACTCATCATACATTTACCTATTAATTTTAGCACCCATTATCGCCCAATGGTGGTTCTCTACTTGGACCATTTCTTTTACATTTATGAATTGGAATTCTACTGTTAGAAAGAGGTATCCCTTCTCCCCATTTTCTTTTCTTTTTGAGAATGAGTCTTGCTCTGTCGCCCAGGCTGGAGCGCAGTGGCACAATCGAGGCTCACTGCAACCCCTGTCTCGCTTCCCAGGTTCAAGCGATTCTCCTGCCTCAGCCTCCCAAGTAGCTGGGAATACAGGTGCCCACCACCACACCTGGCTAATTTTTGTAGTTTTAGTAGAGAGGGGTTTTTACCATGCTGGCCAGGCTGGTGTCGAACTCCTGACCTCAAATGATCTGCCTTGGCCTCCCAAAGTGCTGGGATTACTGGTGTGAGCCATCGCACCCGGCCTACATTTTTTTTTTCCAAGGTAGTCTTGTTGTCGCCCAGGCTGGAGTGCAGTGGCACGAGCTCAGCTCACTGCAACCTCTGCCTTCCAGATTCAAGTGATTCTTGTCCCTCACCCTCCTGAGTAGCTGGGACTATGCACAAGGTATGTGCCACCACACCTGGCTAATTTTTTGTATTTTTTGTAGAGATGAGGTTTTGCCATGTTGGCCAGGCTGGTCTCCAACTCCTGGCCTCAAGTGATCTGCTTGCCTTGGCCGTCCAGAGTGCTGGGATTACAGATGTGAGCCGCTGTGCCCAGACCCCATTTACTTCTTTATTCACTTATATATTTATCATTTAAATGTATTAATTAAGTTTTTATTATAAATATAATTTAATAAGTACATTTAAAATTCTCTTATAATTATATATTTTATATATTTATTTACCAACTATTCATTTAGTGTCAGCCTATACTCATAGCTATTTTCTCTTATTTTTTAATGTTATAACCCATCACTGCCGGGTTTATCGCTCACATTGTTCCAGCTTTGGTCATTGGGATTGCCTTCATGCTTCCTCCTGTGTCCTTTAAATATGCCAACATCATTTTAAAAAATGGAAAAGAAGGCTGGGTGCAGTGGCTCATGCCTGAAATCCCAACACTTTGGGAGGCCAAGGCAGGTGGATCACGAGGTCAGGAGTTTGAGACCAGTCTGGCCAACATGGAGAAACCCTGTCTCTACTAAAAAAACAAAAATTAGCCAGGAGTGGTTGCATGCACCTGTAATCCCAGCTACTTGGGAGGCTGAGGCAGGAGAGTTGTTTGAACCCGGGAGACAGATATTGCAGTGAGCCAAGATCATGCCATTGCACTCCAGCTTGGGGGACTGTCAAACACACACACTCAAAAAGCTTCTCTGCTTTCTGGAACCATAAGATGTTCCAGGCTCATTTTGTGCTTTTCCTGCCCCCAGTGCTAGAATCAATAATTTCTTTAAGAAGCTCTTATTCTTTTTTCTTTCTTTTTTTTTTTTTTTTTTTAATAAAAGAGTAGAGATGGGATCTTGCTACATTGATCAGGCTGGTCTCAAACTTCTGGCCTCAAGCGATCCTCCCATCTTGGCCTCCCAAAGTATTGGGATTACAGGCATGAGCCACTGTGCCTGGCCAAGAGACTCTTATTATTTTCATTGGTGAATGGCATAGAGACAGAGATCTGAGCTCATTACTTGTGAGGTGTCATTGCTTTTGTTCTTCTAGGTCCTTTGAGCAGAAAGCACTTGGACACATATATGTATATACTAACACACACACATGCATCTACTTCTGTTTCTACATCTATCTATCTGTATAACTCTGTAGATATATCTATAAAACTGTGGTTCTGGCTGGGCATGGTGGCTCATGACTGTAATCCTAGCACTTTGGGAGGATCAGGCGGGAGGATCACTTGAGCTCAGAAGTTCAAGATCAGCATGGGCAGCATGGTGAGATCTTGTCTCTACAAAAAAAATTTAATATTTAGCTGGGTGTAGTGACATATTCCTGTAGTCTGAGCTACTCAGATTGCTGAGGAGGAAGGATTGCTTGAGCCCAGCAGGTCAAGGCTGCACTAACCTATGGTCCAACCACTGCACTCCAGCTTGGGCGACAGAGCACAAGACCCTCTCTGGAAAATTAAAAAGCTATGGTTTCATATTGATAATTTCAATTCCAATTAACACTACGTGGTTTATTCTAGTCTTCTTCCTTTTTTTTTTAAGTGTAACTTTTTACTCGGACAGAAATAAACCTGTGTCTTTTTCATAATATATTCACTAACTTGCTCAGTCTTTGAACACACATAACATAGCTTCAGAGTTGCTAATCCATACCCCTCTGAAAGTAAAATTTAACTAGAATACAATATTTGTATACTTATTTTAGTCTTGCAATATGCAGTATTTTTTAGTCTTTCCAAAAATATATATTGTGTTCTAAATTTACTTAGGTTAATTTGTTCAACCCCTACTCCCGGTGATTATTGTCGGTTATATCTCAGGTTTATTCGTTAATGTTTGTTTTCTCCCTACATCCTGGTTGATTTCAATTATGTATTTATTTCCTTAGGATGTAAAAACATTACCATGCTTTCTGGAATCTAGAACTATCCTCAGAATTATGTCATTCTCTTTTCATATCTTCTACCCCATTCCCATTTCCCCATTCTTTCCACCCCATTCCCACTTTTCTGTTGTTAATCAGTCTCATTAGTTTCCATGCTGTCCATCACTTGTATATTTCCTTTCATCTCCTTCTTTCTTACACAGAGGCAGCATACAACAGATACTCTGTTTTTTCACTTAAAACATACTATTGGAAATTGCCTTATGCCAGTTCATTGAGAGCTTCCTCATTCTCTTTTTACAGCAACACGATACTCCATTGTGTGAGTGTGCTTCAGTTTATTCATCCAGTATCCCATCTGTGGGCATGTATGTGGTTTCCAATATTTTGCAATGATAAACAATGCTATAATTATTTGTGCGTATTTTTGTATTGTTGGAAATGTGTCTCCACTATGAATTCTTAGAAAGGGAATTGCTGGCTCAACAGGTTAGTGGATAGTTTTGTCAGATAGTTCCAAATTCCTCTCAACAGGGATTGTACCATCATGCATTTCCAACAGCAGTGTATGACAGTACCTGTTTCCCTATGATCTTGCTATCAGAATGATTTGTCATACTCTTTTTTCTTTCTTTCTTTTTTTTTTTTTTTTTTTTGAGACAGGGTCTTATTCTGTCACCCATGCTGGAGTTCAGTGGCTTGATCTGACTCACTGCAGCCTCACCCACCCAGGCCCAAATGATCCTCCCACTTCAACCTTCCAAGTACCTGGGACTACAGGTAAATGCCACCATGCCTGGAGAATTGTTATATTGTTTATAGAGATTGGGGTTTCATCATGTTGCCCAGGCTGGTCTCAAACTCCTGGGCTCAAGTGATCTGCTCACCCTGGCCTCCCAAAGTGTTGGGATTACAGGAGTGAGCCACCACACCCAGGCTTTCATACTATTTGATTTTTACAAATTTAGCAGGTGAGGGATGATATTTCAATATTGTTTTAATTTACAGTTATCTAATTGGGGGCAGTTTGCACATCTTTTCATAAGTTTAAGGACCATCTATACATACTTTCCCTTTTGTTAGTTTTAAGCTAATTTAAAAATGTTCTCTCTCCCTCTCCCTCTCTCTCCCTCTCCCTCTCTCTCTCTCTCCCTCTCCCTCTCTCTTCCTCTCCCTCTCCCTCTCTCTCTCCCTCTCCCTCTTCCTCTCCCCCACTCCTCTCTCTCTCCCTTTCTTCACCCCCTCCTCTCTCTCCTCCCTCTCTCTCTCTCTCTTTTGGAAACAGTCTTGCTCTGTTGCCTAGGCTGGAGTGCAGTGGCATGATCTCTGCTCACTGCAACCTCTGCCTCCGGGGTTCAAATGATTCTCCTGCCTCAGTCTCCCAAGTAGCTGTGCACCACCATACCCAACTAATTTTTAAATTTTATTTTATTTTAATAGAGACAGTGTTTTACCATGTTGTTCAGGCTGGTCTTGAACTCCTGAGCTCAGGCAGTCTGTCCACCTCAACTTCCCAAAGTGCTAGGATTACAGGCATGAGCCACCACGCCCAGCTGGAGATATTAGTCTTTTATTTTTTAATACATATTGCAAACATTTTCTCTAAGTTTGTCCAGTTGTCTTTTTGTTATACACAATTGTTAATGTGTATGACAAAATACACATTATGCAGTCAAATTTATCCCTCTTTTATTGCCCCAGGAGTTTTGAGTCATTATAAAATCTTTCCCTACATTAAGGTTAATAAGGAATTCACTCATGTTTTCTTTTAGTATATATATGCTTCGCCCCCCGCAACCCAGCTTTTTCATTTAGCTTCCTGGTCTATTTGGAGTATATTCTTGTGTGTGGTGGGAAATATGCATTTAATTTTATCTTTTAAAAGTGGCTATTCATTTATCTCAACCCTATTTAGTGAAAATTTATCTTTGCCCCAGTGATTTGAGATGTCATATTTATCATATGCTAAATGTGTTCATATCGACTGGAATCTATATTGGGGCATTTTATTCCTCAAGTCTATTTGTCTTTTTTTTTTTTTTTTTTTTGCAACTATACACTGCTTTGACTAAAAAGTCTATTGGTCTGGTAAGGCAAGACCACCTTTGAAATTTTTCTTTTTCAGTGTAGGTAACAACTATCCTGACTTCTGTCACCTTAGATTGAATTTGTCTGTTTTTGAACTTCATATAAATAGAATCATATGGTATTTGTTATTTTATGTCTGACTTCTTTCATTTGATCTTATATCTGTGAGATACATTCATGCTGTTGGAAGTAGCAGCAGCTTGTTCATTTTCAGTGTTGTGTCATATTTCTTTGTATGCCTCTGCTACAACGTATCTATCCATTCCCGTTGATACACATGTAAATTGTTTCCAGTTGCTGTTAGGGACTTTTTTTTTTTTTTTGGCACACCCATGTACCCATGTCTCTCAGAATTCCTAATAGTGAAATTGCTCAGTCATAGGATAAATGAATATTTAACTTTGGTAGATAATACCAAACAGCTTTTCAAAGTGTTTGTACCAGCTATGTATAAGATTTTCCGCTGTTGCACAGTCTTTCTAGGACTTGGTATTGTCAGTCTTTGAAGCTGCCTTAAAAGAAAACAAAAGAAAGAAAACTTTGTATGACATAATTCTTCTTCCTTTTGAAACTCAAGAGTCATTTCCAAAACAGCAAATGGCTAGAAACAAAACAAAACAAAACTAGCAAGTCCCATTTTTCTAAACACACCTAACGAGTTCCTGTCATTAGTTTTATAGAAAAATATAGAAAAGCTGTTTTGAGTCTAGATCAAATGTAGCAGACAGTTTGTTGTTTACCCCAAAGCCGTTTTCAGGCCAGGCATGGTGGCTCATGCCTGTAATCCCAGCACTTTGGGAGGCTGAGGTGAGTGGATTACCTGATGTCAGGAGTTTGAGAGCAGCCTGACCAGCATGGTGAAACTCCATCTCTACTAAAAATACAAAAATTAGCTGGGTGTAGTGGTGCATGCCTGTAATCCCAGCTACTCTGGAGGCTGAGGCAGGAGAATTGCTTGAACCCAGGAGGCAGAGTTTGCAATGAACTGAGATTGTACTACTGCACTCTAGCCTGCACAACAAGACAGAAACTCCATGTCAGAAAAAAACAAAACAAAAACAAAAAAAAACATTCTTTTTCTCTTTGCTTCTTTCTAGCAGGACCTCAGTTTTGTTCAGCATGCATCCTGAACAGCATGTCCAACAGGGAAGATGATCTTATCCCTAGCTTAGTGGTGAATCTTGATACATCTAAGCTAATCAGGGCTTTCTTTCTTTCTTTCTTTCTTTTTTTTTTGAGACAGAGTCTCTCTCAGTTGCCCAGGCTGGACTTCAGTGGTGCGACCTTGGCTCACTGCAGCCTCCACCTCCTGCTCAAGTAATTTTCCTGCCTCAGCCTCCCAGGTAGCTGGGATTACAGGCATGAAGCACCACACCCGGCTAATTTTTATATTCTTTGGTAGAGACGGGGTTTCACTATGTTGGCCAGGCTGGTGTCAAACTGCTGACCTTAAGTGATCTTCCTGCTTTTGCATCCCAAAGGGCCTGGATTACAGGTGTGAGCCACCTCGCCTGGCCCTAATCAGGGCTTTCTTATTCCTCTCACCAGCAATTAGTTTAGGAATGAGCATGTGACCCAGTCTGGCTAATAAAATATGAGATATGAGCAACAGTGGCATAGCTCTGGAGAGGAGGGCTCCTGGGAAAGGTTTTTTTACTGCTAAAGAGACTCTCGTAGAGACAGCCCCTTTTTGCTTCCAGATGTGGTATGTCTGGATGTGATGCCTAGAACTGCAACAGCCATCTGGCTGCCAGCCGAAAATGAAGCAAATCTGTAAAAGAATCAGAACAAATGGAGATGGAGCCTTAAATACAGGATCTGGAACCTGCCCTATCCAAGTTTATGTGAAGTAACAAATTCACCTATTGTTTAAGACCATTTGAGCTGGGATTTTCTATTACTGACCACTCTACCTAATACCCCTGGTACTAGGCTTTGTTTGAATAACATAGAATAACAAAGGAGAGACAAGGCTCTTACTTATCCCCTACAAATATGTTTAGCCACTTCCTGTTTGTTCTAAACCACTGTTTTTCAATCTTTAGCATGCATCAAAATCACCTGAAAAGTTGATTAAAACAGCTTGCTGGACTCAGCTGTTGGAGTTTCTTATTTAGCGGGTTTGAGATGAGGCCAAGAACTTGCACTTTTTAGTGAGTTCCTAAGTGATTCTGAGGCTGCTGGTCCAGAGGCCACACTTGGAGAATGATTATTCTAGAATATAGACACCATCTTACTGCATTTAGTAATATGGTTTTTTAAAAAGTCAAATAATATATATCATGGGCTTCCTTTTTATGTCAAGCAAAAGAAGTTGTTGTTTTTTTTTTTGAGACAGAGTCTCGCTCTGTTGTCTAGGCTGGAGTGCAGTGGTGCGTTCTGGCTCACTGCAATCTGTGCCTCCTGGATTCAAGTGAATCTCCTGCCTCAGCCTCCCAAGTATCTGGGACTACAGGCATGCGCCATCGCACCCAGCTAATTTTTGTATTTTTAATAGAGATGTGTTTTTGCATGTTGGCCAGGCTGGTCTTGAATTCCTGACCTCAGGTGATCCACCCACCTCACTTCCCAAAGTGCTAGGATTACAGGGGCGAGCCACCGTACACAGCCAAGAAATAGAAATCTTTATCATCATTTTGAATGACTACCTAGTATTGCATTATGTGGCTGTACTAGAATTTATATAAATGTTTCTAATAAAATATTCTGTTATTTTGTAGGGTTTTTGTATGATTCCAGCCCTGTAGGGTCTTTCTTTCATGTTGCAAGAGTTGAACACTTAAGACCCCAGCATGACAGGCCTGGGCTAGCTCATTCCTAAGAGTTAATTTGATAATTTTTACCAGGGAGAGAATGGAAGCCTGAGAAGTTCTTAAGACTTCTATCCTTCTCTACATCATGAGCATTTGAGCATGCTTTCTGTCTTTGTCATATTCCTATTTGAGAATAGAGGCAACCAACTGCTCAATACTCCAAAGAGAAGGAAAGAAGTTGCATTCGGATGTCATCTGTCCATCATCTGAGACATAAAAGAATGTTACCCTGCAGAGGGAAAAGCTGGGGTCCAAGTTATGTCTGTATGCTTGACCATGGAATAATTTATTTTCAGATGTACTTGCCCTCCTAAATCAGAGCAACACTTCTAGTGTAGCTGGGACTTCTAGTAGAATTCAAAAAAGTGCCCTCAGTTGAGTGCATTGGTTCACACCTATAATCCCAGCACTTTGAGAGACCAAGGTGAGTGGATCACTTGAGCCCAGGAGTTTGATACCCACCTGAGCAACATGATGAGACCCCGTCCTTTCCAAAAAATAAATAAAAACAAAAATTAGCTGGGTGCTGCAGTACACACCTGTAGTCCCAGCTACTTGGGAGGCTGAAGTGTTAGGATCACTTGAGTCCAGGAAGTTGAGACTGCAGTGAGCCGTGACTACGCTACTGCACTCCAGCTGGGGCAGCAGAGGGAGACCCCATCTCAAAAGCAAAAAACCAAAAACCAAAAAGGTGTCCTTACCAGAAGAGAGCTGTCAAACAAAATGCAAATTATGATTGGTTTTGGCTTGAATTCTTTAGAAAGTAGAGCCTGAGGCAAAGCTTAATGTGTCTAATGCAAATTTATTATTGTTGTTATTATTATTCATTTTGTTTTATTTTTATATAGAGATGGGGTGTTGCTGTGTTGCCCAGGCTAG